GCAACAGCAGCGATGGTGGCGGAGGTTATGGCATGGAGAGATAAAGCCCCTGTGGGCTCTAGACCCACAGACTGAGAAAGACTGTGTGCCTGCAGCAGGAGGCTGGCTTGCAAAATGTGCCCTTGCGGTATTTAAATGAAAATATACTTTTTGTTTTTAAGAAAAGAAAAAAAAAATAAAATAAAATTACAACCTAGAAAACCCTACCGTGCAGTTCTACTCTATCACGTGGGGTTGTTATGAACTGAAATTGATTCAGCAGCACCTAACAACACCAATAATCAGTTTAGCTAAATGAGATCTACCCTAATAGGGTAGTTTCTAATCCTAATCCCTTCCAAGTAGTGTTTTATAAAAGGGGAGAATAGACACGGAAACTGACATACACAGTGAGAGTCAAGGAGCAGGCTGACTGTGAAGACCCATCTACAAGCCAAGGAACACTTGGACTACCAGAAACTAAGGAGATAAGGAAGGATCGTCCCCAAGAGCCTAGAGAGAGCACATCATCCTGCAGACATCCTGAACCCTGACTCCTAACCTCCAGAACTGTGAGACACTTCATATCTGTTCTTTAAAGTCAGCTACTTTGTGGTAGTTAATTATATCAACCCTAGGAAACTTTGTCACTGTTTTTTTCTCACAATTGGTTTTCTTGAACCAGAAAGATACACTGGCAACTTTTAACTGATGAATTGAGGCTACTATTTGTGATTTAAAGTGACCACAGGAAAGTTCTCAAAGAATGAACAGAAGAATCATGTAACCCATCCATGTTTCCATTCAGGAGTAGAGGCATTTCCTACCTCTGAATAAAAGTGCTGTTGCATGCAAATCCAAAAGAGATGACAGAAGACAAGTGGGCAATGTGTATTTTCATAATTTTTGTTTCGAAAAGAGAAGTTTATATTTTGTGAAGGTGGCAGATGACCTAATGAGTTATTCACATCTCTGTAACTCAGATGTTTAAAAACCACACAGGACTCTCAGACATTACTGATGTGCATGTAGATTTGTGCAAACTGTATGCACAGTGCTGTGGTAATAGCTATAAAAATTTTAAAGCATACACACTTTGATCCAGCAATCTCTTCCCTAGGAATTAAGTCTGTAGCTATCCTTGTCAGGTGAAATGACTTAGTAAAAGGATATGCCTTGCAGCATTGTGTGTAATAGCAGACGATTGGAGACAATCTTAAAATGTATCAGTGAGGGACTAGTTAAATATATTGCAATATCGCCACACAAAAGGAACCCTGGTGGTACAACAGTTAAGCACTAAATGGTTGGCTATGAGAAAGAGAGCCTGGAAATCTGCTTGTATAAACATTGTTATTGTTGCTAGGTGCCGTTGAGTTGGTATTGACTCATAGCAACATTATACACAACAGATC